AGGTTCTTGAAGATTCAAAGTCAACAATTCCCACTGTCATTCTGTGTCCTGTTGGATTTTCATTCCCCTGCTTTCATCCAGGCGCCCACAGGGAGCCAGGAAGATGTGGAGCCTCCCAGCCAGGTGTCTTCCCAACACGCATCACCAGGACCACGGATCACCAGGGCTCTGCCCAACGGGGGTCACTGGGGATCATCCAACGCCCCTCCTCCCATGGGGGATGGAGCTGGAGCAGCGCCCGACGCTCTTCCCGCACTCGGGGCCCTCGCAGGGCTTCCCTTACTGGTGCCTCCGTTGGTGTTGGGTCAAGTTAGAGCTCTGTGAGAAGCTCTTCCCACACTGGGGACACTCGTAGGGCCTCTCCCCAGTGTGGATGCGCCGGTGAACGGTGAGGGTGGAGTTGTACTGGAAGCTCTTCCCGCAGTCGGGGCAGCGGAAGGGCCTCTCGTCTGTGTGAATCCGCTCATGTTTGAGAACATCAGAGCTGCGCTGAAACCTCTTCCCACACTCGGGACACTCGAAGGGCCTCTCCCCAGTGTGGATGAGCTGGTGTGCCCTCAGGTAGGAGCTCCACCCAAAGCTCTTCCCACATTCCAAGCAGGTGTAGGGCCGTTCCCCTGTGTGGATCACCTGGTGTGTCATCAGGTCAGAGATACTTCTGAAGCTCTGCCCACATTTCCCACACTCATACGGCCGTTCCCCAGTGTGGATCACCTGGTGTTTCATCAGGTAAGCTGTGTTGGTGAAGCTCTTCCCGCATTTCCCACACTCGTAGGGCTTTTCCCCAGTGTGAATCACCTGGTGCTGGATCAGTTGGGAGCTCCACCTGAAACCCTTCCCACATTCCAAGCACTTGTGGGGCTTTTCCTCCTGCTCTGAGCTCCGGCTGGATCTCTGGCCGTGTTCCTGGCACTGGGGGGATCTTTCCTCCTCGGAGCTCCCTGGACTGGATTTGCAGACCCTCCTTGTGCGGCATCTCTGGGGCTTTTTCTTCTCTTCCATCTCAACATAGTTTGGTGTTGAAAGACCCCCGAGCTGTTCACCAGTCTTAACAGAAGTAATTGTGAATGCCGTTTATTTCTATTATTAACACACCTTTTATAGGGTTCTACAGGGTCTGCGGGCAGAGCAAGTTACTATTGGCTAACACACACAGGTTTACATTCTTATCCTTGTACACAAGGATATTGTTTTGCTTTACTCTCTCTTCTGCAGGCAAGTTTCAAGGATTTCAGCCCTTAATATCACGACTTATTTCAAAGACTGGTTTGTGCAGACAGGCCTTTACTAATATATAAAATATAGCAACAATTCCCCCTTTCTCTTTTTGCACAAACCAGGCTTTGGATGTGACTCATTCTATACTCTTATGAAGACAAGATAACACACAACTTAGACTTTCATCCCGATTAACATTATAAGTAAAGTCCGTCCCCCTTCTAGCACAAGAGACCTCAACCATCCAGTGATGCCGCAGCTGGAGAACCAACTTCCAATGGGGTCACTATCTTCTTTCAGGGCATGTAACCCATCCTGAAGCTGTTGTAGTTGCCCATGGATGGAAACTGAATGATCAGTAAGATTCAGACAGCACATGCCTTCAAATTCCTCACAACCACGTCCTTGTGCTAAGAGCAAAAAGTCAATTGCAGCTCGATTTTGTAATACTGCATGACATACACTACTCACATCAGCTGAAAGTTCACTTAACATTGTGGATGTTAAGTTCAATTTTTTCTTAGTCTAACAAGCGAGCCTTTTTAGAGTTGCTAAGCTTTAATTCATTCAGGCTTCACTTTGACTGACTGATGTTTTTTATTTTATCAACTACATTCAGCAATTGGTGTAAGCTTGGATGGAAACAAAGTAAGTTTCCCAAAATAACAGAGTTTTCTATGTGGATTAGCAGGAATCTCATTCTATGCTCTATCTCCACAGATTAGGAATATGGAACTAATTAATCGCTTTGGTAATTGTTCTGTGAGATTGCACCACTAATAAAGGCTTTACTTACAATGGTAGTAACGAGATCAGCTACAGGGTTGTCTGCAGCCCAGTGCTGCATTACTTTGTTAGAATGACGTTTTGTCGGGGGTTCAAACATTATCCATCCACCTGAGGTATTGGTGGAACCTAACAAATCTAATTCTTCTGAGGGCTGCATGGTAACATTGAGAACTTTGGTAATTTTTGCTTGCCAGCAGGCTTCAAGTTGTCTTAATGCGAAGCCAACAGTGCAATTGCACTCTTGCAACATTGCCAATTGATTCAGTCAAGTCTCATTACTAATTAAACCTTTAAATGCTGGAGGATCCCATTCAGGGATTCCTATGAGACAGGTGTGAAAAGGATCTCCAGGTGTGGCTAGGCTCAGACACATTGACCTTTGGCCAGTTCAGTGTGCCAGAGTGACCCATATGTTCTGTCACTTTTGGATGTTAGTTAGCAGACAGTTGGTCAGGACTATACACAACACAATTACCATAAGCAGTTTGTTCCATGTAAATGACACCATACGAGCAAACTCACAGCTAAACTTTAACGTTAAATGAACTTTCAAAGATGCTTACACTACCTCTTGAAGGGGGGAAATGCTTATACTTTATACTAATATAACAATTACTACACAGGCTAAACTCTTAATCTTAAACTATTATCTAACTACTTTTACCACACATGCTCTGGTATATATGTAGTC